TCCGTTTCTAAACCTAAGAAATGTCACAAACATTCAGAGCTGATGATACCACTCATTCACATCATAGCTCAATATGATCTATTACATTAACACAATGCCATTCATGATGAAAAGCACGCAGCCACTTTATAAATGTGATGTCTCTCGGTCAGGTTTGATTTATAGTTGGCTATAGATTAAACATTTCCAAAGACTTGAAGTGAATTAGCTATTGATCCCTTACTGGGCTGGGTCAGTGCAGGCTGTGATTTGTGAAGTGTGAAGTTTTAGCTGGTTAAAGAAATGGAATTACTGTATCCTATTAACGTTAATAAGGGAATGATGTAGAAGAGTTTGCTCAGATTTCGACCAACGTGCTCTTGCTGGTTTTCATGATATGCAGACTATGACAGGCATTTTGTTCTTCCTGTTTTTATGTACCTCGTAGTTGGATGCCTCACTAAAAGAGAATTTAAACTGGCTGCTGTCCAAACTAAACAGACTGGAGACACGGCACTACTACCTGACAGCCAAGGTACCACCTGTTTGTCACGGCCAGCACACATACTCCCACCCCTTTCATCCTCTCGGTTTCTCTCTTTTCCTCTCTATCTCTCCCCGAGCTTTTGGCGTGCGTTCTGGATGGGCATCTTGGAGCATCTGTGCCTGCCTGAGGCACTGGACTGTGGTAGATGTGGGTCAGAGCTGTAAATCCTGTGTGGTCTTGTACCATACAGCCATCGCAACTTCAGGAGACGCAGCAAAGCCAGATGCCAAGCATTGCTGATGGATCGCAGGAGCAGCATGCAAAATAATAAAGTCAATAATGAAGGTCATGAGTCAACTTAATGGTTTGTCTGGTGCTTGGCCCTCCCTTTCATAAAAGAAATCCACAGCGGACGCATCCAAGTGAGGAAATATCAGTTCATTACTGCCACCTCCTGGTCAGAGTCTAAAAAGTCATTTTTAGACACTTCACTGACATCGGAATACATAATGTCTCAGATTCGCACTTTTACCCGATGAAAAACATAAGATCAAGTGGCTTCCTCAATCGCTGCTGGACAGCAAAACTTGTAATCCAGAAGCACTGGATCTCTATTTGAGCTTCTAAAGGTGCACTTGGCATAATAAAAAGTGAGGGCTGTGAGAACAGAGAGTGTTGACAGCCTGCAGTTGAAACAGTCTCACACTGAGGAGCTTTGAGGGCCGAGGGCTGTTAAATGAGGAGGGAGATAATGAGAGAGAGGCAGCAGCATGGTAATCAGCAGGCCTCAATTTCCTCACTGATGCTCCAGATTAGCCCAGCCTCGCAGGCTCCCTTAGGCATGTTTCATCTTCTCTTTCCCCTCAGAGAACACTTTGGATGAAAGGCAGAACTTCTCCATCCAGTCTGCTGTCGAACCCCATGCTGAGGCCACTGCGCAACACGCTGTTGATAATCAAGAGGGGATTTTTTTCCATTCTCAATTCATTATCTTTTCCATTGCTCTCTGGTCCATTAGCCACGCTTTATGCTCTAAAATAATTGTTTATGTAGCGTGTTCCCTGTGTTTTATGTCTTCAAATACACACCATTGATTTTAACTTCTACAGTTTCCACAGCCTAACTGAAAGCAGATGAAAATCAGGTTTTGTTATTACTGTTTGTGTCCTTGGAGGAGCTGTGTTGAATATGATCAACCACAAGTTAGCAGGCATCTTCAACCAAAAATACTGGCAATTAACAGAGATCCTTTATATACTATATTATATTTTACCGTTCAAAGGTTGAGGTCAGCAGGTTTTGTTATTACTGTTTGTGTCCTTGGAGGAGCTGTGTTGAATATGATCAACCACAAGTTAGCAGGCATCTTCAACCAAAAATACTGGCAGAGATCCTTTATATACTATATTATATTTTACCGTTCAAAGGTTGAGGTCATTAACATTTTTATATAATTGCTTTTGATTATAAAAATGTTACTGACCTTATTCTTGCCAGGGCTGCATTTATCTGATAAAAAAAAAATACAGTGGACAGAAATATTGAGAGATTTTTTTTTAAATAACTTGTCTAATATATATTCAAATATAATTTATTCCAGTGATGGCAAAGCTAAATTTTTAGCTAAATTTTCACATGATCCTTCAGAAATCATTCTAATATGCTGATTTGGTGCTCATAAAAGAGTTCTTATTATCATCAATGCTGAAAATTGTGCTGCTTAATCTTTTGTAAAATATCTTTTATATTTTGTTTTTGACCAGCTTGTTTTTGACATTACACTTGATGTTTGTTGATGGAAAATTGCTTAAGCTTTTTTCTTTTTCCAAAGGTTTTATTATTATTATTATTATTTCCCAGTGATGTCAAAATAACAATATATTGCCTATAGCTTCTGAGCTTTTACTGCAATCAAGGAAATTGAATTTTGGATCCCCCCTGTGGCCTTTCGTGTAATAACTATTGCTATCCTAGAAGAAACGAAATGCACGAGTGCAGGTCTTTGTTGATTTGCAAATATGTACTGATTGTTGATAACCACTTTTAGTTTGGTTTTAAACAATTTGTCTAATTTAGAGGCATTATGAAGCAGCAAACTGATCTATATGCCCTGAGAGGTGGATGTGAGGCATGCAAAGCATTCATTATTTTCATTTCATCCTGTTTTGAATGTGGCCATGGATGTGTGTCAGTGACATAATTTTGACCACAGTAAACAGCAGTAATTTGTGTCTGCCATAAAGCTATTTTTTTTAGCAATAATTTAAACATTACTCTCAGGATCACTGAGCTGTTACATAATAACAATATTTAAGAAATATAAATTATGTAAATGGATTACTTGTACCAGGAAATCTGTACCATAGCCCTGGACCATATTAGTAAACATTAACTACTGAACTACTTTTGTTTGCTAAAAAGGGATTTAACTGGAAGCAAATTTCTTATCATGATAAGATTAATAAATCGACTATGAATGATTAACGCACATTTATGAATAGTGATATGCTCTGTGTTTGTTCAGTCTGTGTGTGTCTCTGCTCACAGGTGGTGATATTCAGTGCCAGTGGAGGTTGCCCTGGATACATGCTAAAAGGAACAGGGTAATGAAAAGTTCCGACACACACTTGTGGTCTTCATGCTCACTTGAACACTTGGGCCAAATACAGGAAATACGTCATATAAGTAGTCAAGTGGTCAAGTGCAAAGACCGCAAGTGTGGGTATTTGGACCAGGCTTGTATTTTTTCGGTTATTTAAGTGCATCATCCGGGTATTTAAAGTGCGCTTTTTCTTTTTGGAATTTTCAGTGTGAACGCACTACTCGCACTATTTATTCTACAAAACGTCATAGAATAGTGCATAAGTACACGATTGGGACGCACCTAAAATAATCTCTGCATGCTAGCCTGCAAAGCACTATGGGACACTTCATGTCCCTCAGTCTAATAATGTGAAGTGTGTAGAGCTTTGTCTGGTCGACAATGGCACAATACGATGGTGTAACCATGACAAATCAGAAAATACTGGAGAGGAGAATTAAGTCCTTCAGAAGGTTTTATGTGGGAGTGTGATTGAGAGAAATTATTTTTCATAGCCAGAAAGCCTCTGTTTGGGCTGTGCCAAGAATGACCATCTGGGATTGCCTACCTTTGTACTTTCTCCTTCCTCCTTTCTCCACCAATCAAATAAGCATTTGTAAGCGAGAGCTTAGTATGGCTCAGAAATACACAGCATAAAACACCCCCCTTCTTTTGTTTCAAATCAAAGCATTGCTGCTGATGATGACAGGTTCATCGCATCTGCCATAGATTTGAAGTTTAGTTCTGTGATGTTTTTTTTTTTACCATGAGTAGGCTGCTTTTTGGATTTGTCTATTGTAGTCTAGTGGCCTGAACTATACTGTAATACAATGCTGCAATACAAGCAGAGCTACTTATTGCCATTCACACCGCACTGTTAATTATGACAGAAATTTAAGACCCTTTTCTCTATTATGTTGGACGTGATAAATAATTGAATACAGTATCAAACCTATATCATGCATAAATGTTTATATGTAAATGCATTTTACTTTTTTATTTACCATTATTAATGGTAAAAAAAAATTATTATTAACACAAATTCCATAACATCAATACATGTAATTAAATTCCTTTTATAATCAATCGCTTTCTTTGTTTGAGGTTGACCTTAAAATAAAAGCAACCCATGAGATCTTTATCGTCATAACAAAATCCTTCACTGGGTTCCCTCTAATCTTACACTATCCTGCAAGTGTTGACTCAGTAGTTTCCATTCATCTCACAACATCACACTACAGAAGGTGTAGCCTACGTCATCTGCACCCGAAGCGCACTGATATACCCTGATAAAAAACAATCAATTAGAAGTTGTAATTGTTCTGTGTATGAAAAAGAGTAATTTTTTGAGTGATGCCACTCAAAAAACGATAGTATGTCATTTGGGACACAACTAAGGCTTGAACACCCCCAAAAGAAATGTCTGGAAGTGGGAACAATTACTTCTTTTTTGCCATATATTTGCATACAGACATAATATTTTCGCGTTTTAAGAGTGTTTACAATACAAAGTTTTAGAAAATCACAAAAGTAATAAAGACTGCAAGTCAATAATCGGCGCGCGTTCACTAGGCGCTCCGCTCCCTCGCTTTCACCTGAGGAGGTTACTATAGCAACACACTGCTGAAGCACTTTCCCTTGGGAAAAGTGGTACAGTCGGTAGCCTATTGTAATTATTTATGACTTTATTACAGTTTAAACATCAGAAACATATCATAAACATCTAAGTTGACCGCGCGCGAAATGACAAAAGTAATAAAGAATGCAAGTCAATAATCGGCGCGCGTTCACTAGGCGCTCCGCTCTCTCGCTTTCACCTGAGGAGGTTACTATAGCAACACACTGCTGAAGCACTTTCCCTTGGGAAAAGTGGTACAGTCGGTAGCCTATTGTAATTATTTATGACTTTATTACAGTTTAAACATCAGAAACATCTAAGTTGACCGCGCGCGAAATGTGCGAAGGGCGCCACAAGACGAACCCAGAAAAACAGACCGACGCCAAAACTAGTGAATAATTTGCTAAATCCATGACACGATATCGCTGCTCAGGGCGCTTTAATAGACCCAGCCCTTCCCTTACGATTTGTGCAGCGGCGACGGCACTCATTCTGCACACCACGATAAAATGAGCAAAAGACGCGAATCGTAAACCTCGTGCGAGCAGTAGCCAATCTGAGCGTTCAGCTGCTGAGATCTCCGTCGCGCTGCGATGCGGTAACCGGTGCAGGCGGCGCGCTTGCTCTTCATGTGATCTGAGCCCAGAACAGGACACTTTTATAGGAGAGAGTTGATGATGGACCTGGGTTTGAGAGAACCGATGGAACTGACACGGGGATTATTATTCTAGCCAGAGGGGCAGAGGTTTAATACTTCCCGGATTAACTCTGCCGTAATCGGCACGGGCTACAGTGGAGCAACGCAACGCCGGCTGACACTGAGCGCCCGCTGAATCGCTTTTTCAATCATACATTGTGGCTGGACTCTGACAGGTGAACGAGGCTATATATCAGAGGAAGCGGTTTTTAAAATTTACCTCAATTTACAAATCCTCAAAGTGGTCTTTGCTGAAGAAGTACCTGTATTTGGGAGGTAAGATGTAGTTCCTCTATACCTAATATATAGACTCTGGATGCCCTGATTCTCGAGAACACATTTGCAGTTTGCATCATATTCACCGAGAACTGTTTCATATGGGCGAAGCGAGAAGTCGGTTCCCTTCGTGTTGGACATGGGCTCGCTGTCAAGATAACGGTGTGTCCGATCCAGAGCGGGAGAAACGATGGGCCGAACTGTTCGATCAGCTGGATCTAAATAAAGATGGGAGGATCGATGCGAATGAACTGCGCACCGGATTAAGCGCCTGGGGGGTTGTTCGCAGTGAGGTGGACGAGGTGGGTCGTAGTTGTTCACCCTGCCTAAACATGTTCATTTCTGTGAGTTGAGCTGTAAGGTGTGGTGAATTGCAAACATATGAAACCCCAAGGTCGTAAGAACGTCATGAATTTTATAAACCGGGTGTTTTTTTTGCCATGCGTACTTTTAGCAAGAGTGAAATTTACCCAGTAGAATACTGCCGTGTCTGCGACCAAGGACAAATGATCCCGTGTAATTTATTTAAGAGTTACACTTCTTTTTCCACACTGCAATATTGACAAACCTCCACTCCAGACTATTTTCGTTGCTTGGGTAGGGAAGACTGGAAAGGGTTGTAGCCTAAAGCAGGGTGAGATGTGACGTCATCGGTCTAACCCAGTGGTTTTTACTGAAGAACGAATCAGTTCTGGACATAACTTCTGAAATCACAAAATATATCATGGTTAATAATTTAATATATTAGATTTATTAATCACATTAATTCAATATATTAACAAAAAAAAAGTTTGAAAAGAAGCAGCTTTGTCATAATCTTTGTCATTATCCTAAGGGCCCTCACTTCGAATATTGTGTTGGACAAACAATTTAACCAATTAGCTAATCATATGAACTCCATCCTCCACTTTGCATATGTATTTCACATCTGCTTTTATAATTTACTTTGTGAGCATGTTAATGTTAAAATAACATCTGTCATCAGCAGGTCCTGTTGTTAATGTGAAATGAAATACTTTTCCTCTACATGTTCAAGTATTATAGCTGCTGGATGCAAGGAGTTGAAATTGCATCACATGTATACCTACTGGACTGCATAGAAGATTGCACAAAATAAAACATGCATACTGTCTGTTATGTTTTTAGAGTTTAACATAGGATATATAACACTATTTAGGATATATAACAACAATTATTTGTAGTAGTAAATTTGATTCACATAGTAAGCTTGAATACTAAAATAAACTGATGTACAAACATCCATGTTTTCTATTAGTACCACAGCCCCACTACTGGTTGTGTGGTAGGTCTAACGCAGCATCTTTTGTATTTAACATTAATTTACACTGTTTAGGTTGAACATTTATTCCAAAATACTATGTAGCATACAAATATGGATATGGGATCATTATATCAAAGTTTGGGACACATAGCGCAAAATAACTCTGAGATACAGATGTTGGAACAAAATGTGTTACAACACTCCCCAGTCTCCCCTACTATTTTAGAAAGTAATGTCACAGGTGGTGCAATCATAAACTGCAGAAATAAATCTGCACCACTGGTTTAAGCTGCTTGAGTGGAGGACTGTAAGTGCTACTGAGGGACTGCAAGTATGTTTGATCTGCAGTTTATTTACTTTTGTATAGTCTGTATAGTTGTATTGGTTCCACTGAAACCATCTTTTACAAAACTGCAGTAAGGTCTCATATGATGATTGAGACCTCCTTTTTAATGCAATTTACCTGACATTTTTCTTTAACTTGCAGTACTTGCAGTACACACACACACACACACACACAAACAGTTCAGCAACATTTACATTTTCAGTCATGTTGTAAACAGACCCTTTCTGCCAAAGTGACTTACAAGACAGTGCATATGTTGTGTTGTGTTGTGATGATTACTTCAGCAGGTAGCTATGGATGCTAAGATGAAACCACGAAAGTGCCATTATGAACGTAACTTGGAGACTCCAAGTTTCTTTGGGGAGAGCGACACTATGTGCCAGTGGTATGTCTGTGCTGTTGGGTTGTGTGACTGTTAGTCATGTGCTGTGATGCAAGAGGAGAGATTAGCTCTAGTTCACAATGTGTTTGTGACTGGATTCGCCAGACTGCTGACAGGGCTTTGCACACAAACAGAAACCATGCATCTATAAGCTTAGAGCAATGCCTCCTCTCTCTCCTTTTTGTTTTCTGTTAGTTTCTCTTTGTTCTTCACTCTACATAGGCATGGGTACAGTTAAATAAAGTTCACATATAACTCCTCCAACCCTCACATTCGTGCCCTTAAACTTGTACTTTTCACTTCCTCCACCCCTTAGATTGTACGTGTGAGTGACACCAATCATGATGGCCAGCTGGACTTTAAGGAGTTCACACAGTATCTGCGCACACACGAGAAAGAGCTCAGACTCATGTTCCACAGCCTGGACCGCAACAATGATGGTCTGGAGGATCTTTTCATACATTATAATCTTATCACACAACATCACTGTAACTGTAACCTCATAATACACATTTCCACTTTGCATGATTGTTTTTAAAGTGTTTGTGAGATAAATCAGAAGAACCTTTGTGTTTCTCTGTCTTGTAGTATATGTCATACTACTGTTCATAAGTTTGGGGTCAGGAAATGTTCTTTTGTTAGAGAAATTCATATTTTTATTTAGCAAGGATGCATTGAAGTAATCAAATGGGACAGTAGAGAAATTTATAATTTTATAATGTTACAAAAGACTTCTATTTGAAAATAAATGCTGTTCTTTTGAACTAAAAAAAATGTGGCATGGTTTCCACAAAAGTATTAAGCAGCACAACTGCTTTCAACATTGATGATAATAAGAAATGTTTCTTCAGCAGCAAATCAGCATATTAGAATGATTTCTGAAAGATCATGTGACACTGAAGACTGGATTAATGACTGCTGAAAATTCAGCTTTGCCACCACAGGAATAAATTACATTTTAAATATATATGAAAATAGAAAACCGTTGTTTTAAATTGTAATAATATTTTACAAAGTATTCATTCAGTAAATGCAGGCGCAGCCATGGTGAGCGTAAGAGACTTCTGTCAAAAACATTAAAAAAAAACTTTTTGAACGATAGTGTATCTTTTGCTGCCCATGTACAGAATAAGCATTGAAATGTTTTATGACCTCAGGTCACATAGATGTTGCAGAAATTCAGCTCTCCTTGCACAGCCTTGGAGTGAATGTATCTACAGAGCAGGCCTCCAGAATCCTGCAGAGGTTAGAGCACTTCAACTTTTCACAAAACACTGTGTTTTCATTTTTTTTAGTGCTTAAAGGGGTCATATGATGCAATTTCATTTTTTCCTTTCTCTTTGGAGTGTTACAAGCTCTTGGTGCATAAAGAAGATCTGTAAAGTTGCAAAGACTCTCACGCTTGAGGTATTCGGCTAATCACAACGCACTGGATAGCTGGCTAATCAGAGCACACCTCGCTTTTCAGACCGATTAGTTTTGTAAAAATCGACGCGTTTCAGAAGGCGGGGCATAGAGGAGAAACAATAATGTACAGTATGTGGAAAATAATGTGTTTTTTTAACTTTAAACCGCATAAACACATTTCATTACACCAAATACACAAAATAATGTTCTTTTTAGCAGCATCATATGACCCCTTTAATCAATGTCATGTACACATTTAACTCCCACTCTGGCTGTGCTTTCAAAGGAGTTTGAGATGTTGCTGTGAAGCCCCCACATGTTGAGTCACACATAGTTGCAATGGCCATAGAAAAAGCTTGTTTTAACTATTTTATATTCCTTTTGTGTGTCAGCATAGACAGAGATGGTACTATGACCATTGACTGGAGCGAGTGGAGGGACCACTTCTTGTTTAACCCGTTGCACAATATGGAGGACATCGCCCACTACTGGAAACATTCTCTGGTTCACTTCCAGCTCTTTTCAGACATTAGATTGTAGGCCTGACATTCACAGATATTTTAGAATGTAAAATTAGCTGTTCTTTAAACCTATGATGTATGTGTTTCAGATGTTGGACATTGGAGAGCAGCTGACTGTGCCGGATGAGTTCTCAGAGAAAGAGCGGCGTTCAGGTGTGGTGTGGAGACAGCTAGTGGCTGGGGCAATGGCAGGAGCTGTATCGCGAACGGGAACTGCTCCTCTCGACCGTCTTAAAGTTTTCCTTCAGGTTCAGTCAACGCTTAAAAGTGTTTGATTAAAGCTTTATTGTCTCTATCAGTTGTTGTATCAAATAAACTGAAATAAATCGATCTTACGTTGGAAGTTCTGTTGTGAAAAGTACTCATAACGAAAGGAGTGTGATCTGAGTGGATTTTTAACAGGTCCACGGCTCCAGTGGTGTGGGTTTGTTGGGTAGTTTGCGGGGAATGGTGCAGGAAGGAGGATTGAGGTCCCTTTGGAGAGGCAATGGCATCAATGTCCTCAAAATTGCCCCAGAATCAGCTATCAAATTCATGGCTTATGAGCAGGTAAACACACCAGAATCCAGTAGCTAGAGTAGCCACTTTGTTTTTGAGTGGCAGACTGTCTAATGTAAGTTAACAATAATAAATATCTTGTGTAGATCAAATGGCTGATCAGAGGCAGTAAGGAGGGTGCCTCTCTAAGAGTTCAGGAACGTTTCATTGCTGGTTCCCTGGCAGGAGCTACAGCTCAGACCATCATCTACCCCATGGAGGTGAGAGAGCAGGAGGAAGTGAGAGACATGAAGAGACTTTCACTTTTCAGCTCTACAAGTAATGTAACCACAGACCTTATGAAAACTGGCTTTCTAAAAGCCCATTAGTATCATTTTAGCATATTATACTTGTAATTATAGCACTAGAAACTCTTACAAATTACATTTGACTGTTCCTAGAGTACGCTCTGAATTTGGCAAAACTGCCTTTTCCTCCTGGTCCTAGGCTATGGAATGAATGTAATTATAGCACTAGAAACTCTTACAAATTACATTTGACTGTTCCTAGAGTACGCTCTGAATTTGGCAAAACTGCCTTTTCCTCCTATGGTCCTAGGCTATGGAATGAAATGCAGAGTGTTATGATGTTAGAAACAATTCCATCTCTAAATATTTTTAGAAATCTTTTGGAGTTCTACCTGGAAGAAACTTGTGAATGTTTTATGTAATTTTTAATATGATGTTGGATGATATTTATTTATTTATTATTGTTTGTTTTGTTTTATGTGTGTCTAATCTGTATGTGAAACTTTCTGTGCTGCCATTTTGGCCAGGACTCCCTGGTAGAAGAGATTTATATCTCAATGGGATAATTCCTGGTAAAATAAAGGATAATAAAATAATAATAATTAGAATTTCCTGAGGGAATCCTTGGCAAATTAGCCTTTCGGGTTAGCCTACAAATTGACGTCATGACTAAATAGCTCTATAAAGTTAAGACCTGAAGATTTCAGTGGCTTTACCTGTGTACTTATCGTCTTTTTTATCATAAGCACTTCTACAGATATTGTATAAAGTAGATGGATATATAAACAGAAAGATCTGCCCCAGTGTTAGAAAATGGACATGGAAAACTTCAGAATAAGCTGTCTCTAAATTAAAATGTAATTACAATTATAGATATACATTAGTACAGTAAACTAAGTATTTATAATGTTACAGAGGTTTCTATTTTAAATGTTGTTCGTTTAAAGTTTATATTCATCAAAGAATCCTGAAAAAAAAATCATGGTGTCGACAAAAATATTAAGTAACACAACTGTTTTCAACACTGACAATAAGAAATGTTTCTGAAGGATCATGTGACACTGAAAAAGACTGCTGAAAATTCAGCTATGCCATCACATTAATAAATTAAATTTTAAAACAGAAAACTACGGTGCCCGTAAGGTGACATGTTCGGTTCACTTAGTTTTGTTGCGGCCACGACATAATAACTCGTGGGAACGTGATATGTCGTGGCCTCGAGATGCTATGTTGAGGGAACGACATCCATTTCTCGCGGCCACGACTTCTTATGTTGTGGGAACGACATATTTTTCTCGTGGCCACGCGTTTAATGCGTAAGTGGCCTCGAGATGCTATGTTGAGGGAACGACATCCATTTCTCGCGGCCACGACTTCTTATGTTGTGGGAACGACATTTCTTTCTCGTGGCCACGCGTTTAATGCGTAAACAATCCTGCGTGACCATAGCAACCCGGGATTATCAGAGATAGATTCATTAATATTTTATTTTGAATTAAGAAATTATTATGTTATTTATTATTATAGAAATTATTACATACATACTATTATATTAACCATATAGGCCTTGGTTACCGGGCTGTATTACATGCAATAGTCAGCATTCAAATGAAGTTTATCATGAATAAATGTTACATTAAGTGTATAATATAAAATAGGCCTACAAGAAAACATTTTTATCCATCCTATAGTCTTGTAAGTCCATTAACTGATCGTCTTTTCCCCGTGATATTTGTATATTATTATTATTATTATTATTAGCCTATTATTATTGGTAATATTTTTATATTCGTTTATATTCATTTTTTCCCTTTATTTCGATGTCTTTACTTAACGTTCTGAATACTTTTGTAAATATTAGCCTACTAAATTGAAAGGGTAAATAAGCATATATAGCAATAAATATAAAAATATAGCCTTAATAAGTTAATGTAATAATAATAATATACAAATATTAAATTAAATGTTTAATGTTAATAAAAATGTTTTATCTATTTTTGATAATCCCGGGTTGCTATGGTCACGCAGGTTTGTTTACGCATTAAACGCGTGGCCACGAGAAAAATATGTCATTCCCTCAACATGTCACCTTACAGGCACCGTAGAAAACAGTTATTTTAAATTGTAATATTATTTTTGATCAAATAAATGCAGCCTTGGTGAGCACAATAGACTTCATTAAAACATTTTAAAAATAACTAAATAAATAAAAATCTAACAGACTCCAAACTTATAGAATGGTAGTGTAGATAAATAACAGTATAACAGATATGTCCAAGTGCATTGTTTCTTCTAAAGTTGATTACTGCAGAAAATAATTTAAACTTCTGTTTTGCTTTTTTATGAGTAAAAAATGGGTCAAGTACAACTTACAATAGCGAGTTTTTAAAAAAAATTAAATTAGATTTCATTAAATAAATAATAAAATAAACACTTAAAAAAAAAAAAAGTATAACTACAATACTTAAATATTATATGCATAATGTAGTAATATTGATATCTGGATAATTTGGATTATCAAATTAAATCTTGTATTGGACCTGGAACATTCCTTTAGTGATCTTGCTCATATAATGTCTGGCTGTAAAAGTATCTGTTATCTCAAGTCATGTTCATAGCTGCTAATGTAAAGTACAAATGCCAGACAATCATGTAACAGAGGAAGTTGTTTAACAAAAGAAGGAGTGCGCGCGTTCTACAAAGGCTATGTGCCCAACACACTTGGAATCATCCCGTATGCTGGCATTGATCTGGCTGTCTATGAGGTATGGCTGTGTGTGTGTATTTTAACACATTTAAGTGTTTGCAAATCCCTGCTGCCACTGTCAAGCTTTAAGAATTCATCATTCTCAGTTGCAGTGGTTGGTTAAATTATATGTTATGTATTTACGTTGTTGTGTTCTATGGTGTCCTCCTACAACTCACAGATCTTTTCAGATGATAGTCTTAAGAAATCTGTTAACTCCATTTCATTCTTTCCCATATGGCAAAAAAAAAAAAAAAAAATTTTTGGCCAAGGATGCACTGAATTGATTAAAAGTGAAAGTAAAAACATTTATAATGTTACAAAAGATTTATAGTTTAAATAAATGATGTTTTTGAACTCTCTACTCATTAATGAATCCTGAAAAAAGTACCATGTTTTCCACAAAAATATTAAGCAGCACAAGTCAGCAAATTAGAATGATTTTTTGAAGGATCATGTGACACTGAAGTCAATGCAGTTAAATAAATTAAAGTATACTACATAAATATACTAAATATACTAAAGTATTTTAAAATATACAAAAATAAAAAATAATAGTAATAGTGAATTGTAATAGTTCACAATATAGTTTTAAAAAAAAAATCAAATTAATGCAGTCTTGGTGTGCATAAAAGACTTCTTTTGAAAACATTAAAAAATCTTTCTGACCCCAAACTTTTGAAAGATAGTGTATATTGTACATAGCATGACTGCTGTCAAATTAAATATATATTTTTGTAGATCTTCAAATGCCAAAATATATTACAAAAGATACATTTCCAATTTTAAAATACATTTTGAGTAAATGCAAAATGCTTTTTTCTTTTTTAAATATATGTTTTGGACAATATAAATCATTTTAGGTTGAAATTTTTTTCTTAAAAATGGCCAAAAATGAGGAAATATAATTAACTAAAATGTGTCAAAACTAAATGTATGCAAATATACTGTAAATATTAACAATATATTTTTGGAAATTTGTTGTATATTTTGAAAAATATTTAAAATATATATCTATATTGCTCTTTTCTGTCTGTTATTTCAACAGACTCTAAAGAATGCTTGGCTACAGCGGTACTGCATGGGCTCGGCTGATCCTGGCGTTCTGGTGCTTCTTGGATGTGGCACTGTGTCCAGCACATGTGGGCAGCTGGCTAGTTACCCGCTGGCTTTAATCCGCACACGCATGCAGGCTCAGGGTGAATGAGACAAAACCGATTCACGTAATTCTTATTACATGTCATTCTGCTTATTTTGTGATTCTTTATGAAACACAATGTTCACAACAATGAAAACATTGGAAATGCAAATGAAATGATAACCTCACACCTCCTCCTCCCTTTCTTCTTGAAAGCCTCAGCTTTAGATGGTGCTCCTCAGCTGTCAATGGTTGGCCAGTTCAAGCACATTGTGTCCCATGAAGGCGTTCCTGGACTTTACCGTGGCATTGCCCCCAATTTCCTCAAAGTCATTCCTGCTGTTAGCATCTCTTATGTGGTTTATGAGCATATGAAGAAAGCACTGGGAGTGGGATCTTAAACTAAGACAGAATCAGAGTGCAAAAAGAAAGAGAGAACCTGCATTAAAAAGAGGACGATGAAACTTCTGAACCTCATAAAAAGAGCCTTAGGGAAGCACAGAGGACCCCTAGAGAACAGAATAAGGAAGACATAGTCAATGAATGACCTAAAAACCTCTACATTGTACGCAATCACATTCCCATGGCAATTTATACTTTAATAGGATGGAAAGATAGTTTTGGGCTGAGGCAACCATTATGAAAAATGGTTGTGTTCAGAATATGTTTCTCTGTGACTGGCGGCTTGGAGATCTCAGGTTTATTGTACACTATTTACCTGCTGTTTCACATAAACAACTTCTTATCTGGATAGGGGAACACCACTGAATAGTACTTCATTTTACAAGGAATGTGATGTTATTGCCGTGGTGATAAATGTGGGGTAATTGTGTAATGAAAGATACCTAAAGGCAGGGAGTGATGGTGACATTGGGCCTTTTTCAGTATTTGCAGGAGGACTAAGTTATTTTTTTTTAAATGACAACCAAAGTTTCCCTCTTAAAATTGACCAAAATGTTGAAGAAGGTGTTTCAATGTACATATGGGTATGGGATATTTTAAATAGCCTCTTCTGACTGATGTTTCATAACATTTACCAATGATTTATACATTGTAAAACATGTTTCAGCAGGGATTTACACTGTTGTAAAACTCATATATTTTTGTAATGGTCAGTGAGAGGTAAGCATGTTATTTGCTACACTTTAATGATCAAAGGATTTGCACTCTTAAAATGATTGTAGAATTTATATCTTAAACTGACTTGTGATGTTCTTTTATGACATCTCTGCTGCTTTGCTACCTTTTTACAATTTTAGCCTTTTCTGATATTTCAGTCTTCATTGTTAAAGTGTAGTGAAATACAGGATTTAGTGTTAAAATTACGTAAATGGTATAAATAACTGCCTTGAACAACTTGCAAATGGGGCATCAACAAGGGTATTAGATGAAAAGGGGTGTTTATTATATTAAATTTGCATACTTTGTGTTTATTAAAGGGATAGTTCACCCAAAAATGAAAATTCTGTCATTATTTACTCACCCTCATGTCGTTTCAAACCCGTAAGACCTCCGTTCATCTTCGGAACACAAATTAAGATATTTTTGATGCATTCTGACAGCTAAGCTTCGAGAATACTTTTTGTGCGCAAAAGATCATGTAAGGACCCTTGCTGTCTATGGGAGGGTCAGAGAGCTCTCAGAATGCATCAAAAATATCTTAATTTGTGTTCCGAAGATGAACGGAGGTCTTACGGGTTTGGAACGACATGAGGGTGAGTAATTAATGACAGAATTTTCATTTTTGGGTGAACTAACCCTTTAAGGAATGTGCTGTGGTGAATGCTAAAAAATGTGTCTGAAAGTAATTTCTGAATCTATACACAAAGGGCTTTTGACCCACAGGTAGTGCATGATGTCAGTGATTTAAGTAGTTTAGCAATTTGCATGTTTTATGTGTTTCGAAAGCTCTAATCAATATCAGAAATATGCAAAGCACTGTTATATTTAAAGCGGACAAGAAATGTGTTTAACATAAATCATAACTGCTGTTACCTGACTCTGTTTATCAGAAATACATTGTTCATATGTTTTTTTTAATTAATCGAATGGGTTAGTTGCATCTAATGCAGATTTAGCTAAATCTGAATATAAAAATGCATGTCTTTAATTTTGAGTATGAAATATGGTTTTAGGTATAAATACTGTTTGAATGTAGTTATTTGAGAAATGTATTTATAGCTTATCTTAGAAAATGATTGTATTTTGGAATTTACATAGTTGTTTTATTTTATTTTTTAAATTATTATTATTATTATTTTGCTTGAATGCATTGCATTGAGAGTAGTGTGCCTTGACATGCTGTATTCACTTTATAAGATGTGCATGCTGTTTTTACTGAGCCAGTCTGGCAATGATTCCCTGCTTTCTTTATGTATAATACAGAATAAATAAATTTAAGGTTATTAATTATAAAAAAAATCATGATTCTGTGAATCTTGGGTTACCAAGAAAAAAACAAAACTTGCTGTCATTTATCTTACTTTTTTTCCCTCTCAAATCAGCCTTGATTTTATTAAAACTTTAAACACGTTGAGCTTTATAAAGTTAAAATGTAGGCCTATACAACAAAATAAAATGTGTTACTCATATTTTACTAACCTTTCTTTATCTGAATCAATATTTGTTTTCAGATGATGTCATCAAAATCAAAAGGCAATTAAAACAGATAACACTGACTAAATAATGCCATAAAACAATGGCGAGGTCAACTCAGAACTATTTATTTAAGTTTTATATTCTTCCTTATAGAAGGGTGCAGGGCCGTGCAGATACCTTTGGAGGGGCAGGTGCTCAAAGTATAAAAGGGGCACATGGAGCACGTTTTTTAATAGGGCTGTGCTCCTTGCTGAGACATGTATCGAAACGGATGCTTCTGTATTGATAGCAGCAAATGCCGTGACACAGTTTTGAAAAAGAAACACAGAACAGAAAAGACCATTTTAAGTTTAAAAGTTAAATAAAAATTTCTTTGCACCTCTTAATCACTCTGAAAATAGAAACGGAATTAAATGAATAATAATTAAATTATTACTATTATTGAGTTTACAGGGTAGGGTGGTTTTGCTGTTGTAAACACTAGGCTACTGTTGTTGTTGTTGTAGAAAAACTATTTCTGTCTTATTTAAAATAGAATTATATTATAATCCTGTTCTGTAGCCTTTATAAACCGATCATAAAATTGTCATTAGGAAAATATTGAACAAAAATATTATAGCCCCTTGCTGCAGCTAACCTTACTTCCACAGGCTACAAACAGCAATATAAACAACAGCTGTGCATGCTCTCTTCACGCAGTTCTTGTATAATAATAATAATAATAATAATAATAATACAAGTATACAGGCACACCGCTCCGCTGAGAACTCCACTTACCGGCAGCCGCGGACGTTATGAAGGCATCCAGGTAGTGCGCTACATTAAAGGTGTCTGACCCCTTGTCCAAATAACCACACTTGCGGTCTTCATGCTCACTTGAACACTTGGGCCAAATACAGGAAATACGTCATATAAGTAGTCAAGTGGTCAAGTGCAAAGACCGCAAGTGTGGGTATTTGGACAAAGCTTGAATGTGAGGGAGAGTCCCTGATGAGATCGTCAGGTGAAAGTCATCATCATGTGGATAATTTTATTTACGACTAAATTATTATTCATTCATTTTACTAATAGTTAGATTGGGCAGGCCTTCACAAAATGGCGTTTAATTACAAAAAAAGAATTGCCTTGACAAAATTGCACGTGCCTGGAAGGGTGTCTAAGTGATGACTAAGGAAAGTTAAGTAAGGATTAATGTGCAGTCATGCAGAATTATGAATGAAGTCAAATATAAAATTGTTTATTTATTTAATTTATTATTATTATTATTATTATTATTTTTACTTTTGCTGTCATTCGAACGCCAACCAGTTTCCAAAGTTGTGCACCTCCTGTCCAGTTGGAGGCGATATTCCTTGTGTGCTGTGTTGTTGTGCATGGAAAAAGCTGTCGTCATGTCCTCTTTTCTCCATTTTAGTTTTGCTAATGTTTTGGTAGTCATCAGTGGGGTGTTCGCAGAATAGGCTGGTAAATAAATCATGGGGAGAAAAAAGAAGAAGCAGATGAAGCCCTGGTGTTGGTATCCTTCTTTAAAAGCTATCGTACCGTTTAATATTTTTCGAATTGTTTGTTAGTAGGGATTTGACCACTTCGTGTTTACGAATAGCTAATGCATTGTTTCTCTGATATCAAGGCCTGCGTCCCTGTGCAGCATAGGCGCTTTCGAATTTGTGTTCTGTTTTAATGTTCGCGAAGAGAAGACTTACCAGTTAATACGCCCACTTAATGCATCAGATTTAAGTTAAAATAATTTTTTGTCTCTGTATATATACGTAGATTAGTTTCACGCTTCCGCTAACAAAAATAGACCATGATGTTGATAACATTTAACAAGGAAATATCCAGTAACTAAAAAGTAAAAATAAAGAAATGTCCTCCTGCAGTAATTCGATAACTCACCCTCTCAACAACCGCTTTTTTTCTTTGAAGAACCAGGATTCCAAATGTAAAAAAAAAAACAAAAAAAATGTATATATATATTTTTGTATTTTTGATACAAAATAATAATTTTAACCCTTTAACTGATATCGCTACCGTACGGTTGAGCTTAATTTGATAGGGAATAAATCTATCAAAAGGAAGAGATGAGAGAGCAATCTTTCCACAGCTGTACTGCCACACCTCTGTGTCTGCTGTTGCCATGCGGGGTGTGGGAATGTCCAGTTTTCAAGTGACAGCAGCAGTTTACAAACTTCAGTCAGTCACATAGAAGGGAGAACGGTGCTGGTCAGTTATCAGATAATAGGGGCAAACAGGCAATCAAGGAAGTAGGGATGAAACCATAACGTTGTTGTGAATAGGGTAGAGGGTAAAGAACAGAAATAAAGCAAAATATATGAGAAATGCAAAAATGTTTATTTACCATAATTATCCAAAATCACGTACGACCGTAGGGTTGATATGTCTGTAAAGGACATCATATAACATATATATTGCCATATGTCTATATATGTTATAGAGACACTTAAATATATATATATTTTTTTATCTTTGACCCTGAAGGTTATTCAATGTATCCAAGATACTAATAAAGTTAAAGGAATGTTTATTATTGGAAAATAACTAATAGAAATAGTTCTCTGAATTCAAATCAAGATTTACCATGGACTGACAGCTCAACCGTACGGTAGAGTTTTATATAAAACATAAATGTAAAAAAAAAAGTTCTTGGGGCTATTTATTAGATGTCTACTAATAAGAATTTTAAGTTAAATATTTTTTTCATTAGCTCCGTTTAGGGGTGAAAGTTAAAGGGTTAAAATAAATTCACGTAAAGTAATAAAATTTCAATTTTGTGAAATTGTAATGAATAAAAACCATGAGAACTCTTATTCTTCATCATTGTTCAGCAAGTCATTAAAACCTGGAAAAGTCATGGGGTCTTTGAATATTTTTGTAGACAAAGGTAGGGACAAATTTTGAGAACCATTTTACTAGGGTATAATAGTGAAAGAAGTAGAAAAAGATTTAAGCTTCCTTATGCTGACAGTCTGTCCCTTCTGCTTATCTTGGTGCTTTATTGTTATGCTTTTTTTCTTGTTTATATGACTTTAACTGCAAACACAGGTACTGTAACAGGGATTTTGATGATGAAAAGATTCTCATTCAGCATCAGAAGGCCAAACACTTTAAGTGTCACATATGTCACAAGAAGTTATACACTGGTCCTGGTCTGGCCATCCACTGTATGCAGGTATAAAGTTACATATACATATAAACTCACACACACACACATATATATATATATATATATGTATGTATGTATATATATATGTATGTATGTATATGTATATGT